TATATATATATATATATATATATTAATAGACAAGTATGAGCTTAAGTAATTGAAACGTGCAATTAAGGTAAAACAAAGCAACCATACTTATACTGTTGTCCCAAAAAGTACTTACCAACCAACTGAAGAACCACAAAAGAGTAATTAAACCAAAGACAAGAAATTAAAGTCTAAGCAACTACTGTACCCAAAATAACTGCAACTTAAAGTACTGAAAGTAAATGAACAACTACTAAAGCTATTGCAAAATAACAAATTAAAGTGCTAAAGAACCCTCAAGTGTCCTCCTCATCATGATCGAGCTTGGTAGCTTGGCTAGGACAAGTTCACTACTCGGTCTAGCCGATACACTTGCCTGAGCTTGATAACTTGGTTAGGACAAATTCACTACTCGGTCAGGTCGGTACACTTGATTGAGCTTGGTAACTTGGCTAGGACAAGTTCACTACTTGGTCTGACCGGTACAGTAAGAATCTAAAATTTCTCCCAAAAAAAATGCTAAATTATATTCTTTTTCCTTTACCTTATATTTTATATTCATTTTAATTCTTTATATGTTAAAATAATATTCACTGCCTCACTTTGTTGCACGTGCTGCCGGTGTCCGTGCACCCATTGTTAACTTGTAAGATCACTCGTTTTGTTTTGTGAACATGATCAATTATCATTAATCATACTCTTTTTATTTTATTTTTGGGATCAGAATAACTTAGAGCATATGATGCGTTGACATTTTCTAGCCGTATTGAAAAGAAAATAAAACATAGCACAAAAATTTATAATAATAAAAAAAAAGTTTAATTCCATCAATGTCTGGGTGGAATATGCTATCCCCTATCGCTAAACCATTCATATGGACAAGGCTGACATAGACTTAAATAGAGTTTAATTTAGCATATATATATAAACAGGGACGGAGCCAGGATTTCAATACTGGGGGGCCGAGAATAAATAATATATAATTTATAATAAATGAAAATTAAAGTATCAAAAGCATATTATCTGACAAAACTAGATAATAGGGGGTGCCATATAGTAATATATATGTATATAAAAAAAAATTAAAATTGTTGGGGGGGCCGTGGCACCCGTAGGTCCCCCCTTGGCTCCGTCCTTGTTAATATAAATATTATTAATTCACACAACCTCGGAGGTTATTGCACTCCTATAACCAATTTAGAAAGACAAAAGCTCACCTAGGTTATATCTACGGGTGACAAATATTACCAAAAAAACCATTTGTTGATCAAATTGTAGGCTTATAAATTGTTGGGTCACAGAACTGATGATAATATCCAATCCCATAACCCCTCATCACTAAGTTGTGTGCTTCTTATGTGAAATAGCTATGTCTCTGCCAACCTCACAAGGGTCTTATAGTGAGCCTGCTGTCACTGGTTTTCCTGTGGCTTACCCACAAGCACCACCTGCCCAGCCCAAAGCTCAGGCCCAGGTTGATTGGTCCACGGGCCTCTGTGATTGCTTCTCCAACTTCCAAAACTGTATGCTCGGCCCTTTTCACACAAAGTTGATTATTGTTGATATAGAGAGTCATATAGTATTATATTTGTTTCAGGTTGCTTAACGTGCTGGTGCCCATGTGTGACGTTTGGCAGAGTTGCAGAGATTGTAGACAAGGGATCAACGTGTAAGAAGCTATTCATTCCAACAAGTTAGTTCAATATGATATATAGGTATATGATGAAAGAGTCTAATAAATGATTTTGTGTGCAGCATGTGGTGCTAGTGGGGCCCTGTATACGATAATTTGTTGTTTTATAGGTTGTGGTTGGATATACTCATGTATGTATCGCACCAAGATGAGACGACAATTCATGTTGAAGGACAGCCCTTGCTGCGATTGCTTGCTTCATTGCTGTTGTGAACCATGTGCCTTGTGCCAAGAATATCGTGAACTTGAAAACCGTGGATTTGACATGGTCATTGGTAAGAACTATATATATAAAAATTATAGGACAAAGTCAGATACAGTAACTGTGGTGGCATGGCATCGAAACTTGGTACAGTTTTTTAATTAGTATTCAAGTTATAAATGTGTATTACCGAAATCAATATTATATGTAAATATTATTATTGAAGTCAAAGAATAACTTCGATTTATAGTATTGTATCTGAGTTTTGTTTTAAATTGTAAGCTTTCTTAGGTTAGGTTTTGAATTTTTTGTGAGAAGCTACTAATATTCACTTATTTTATAAAATTGTTAATTTATTTTATCTAATTTTATATAAAAAATTATGATGACATTTATGAAAAGATAGAAAGAGTATTTTGTTATTATATTAATATTCAACTTTAATATATATGTTATTTTCAAGGAAGGAAACAATCGAATTGGCCGTCAGGAAAAAATTTAGAAGATATTTTATTTTATTTAAAAAATTATAGATGAGTTATTTCTTTCTCTTGAAACTATTTTACTTGAAATTGGTTAGGGTGGCAAGGAAATGTTGATCAAAACCGGGGTGTGGCCATGATTCCAACAGCTCCAGCAGTTGAACCCATGAGTCGTTGATGACCCATACACACATTATCAATGCATATTGCGTCAGTTTGATCAAACTCAGTTATGATTGAAGAATGGGTTATTACTGCTTTGTTGATTTATAGTTGTTGTTAATGCTACATGCTTTTCTATGTGTGGAATTTCCGAGTTGCGTGGTCAGTTGCCTTCATTTTCCTATTAAAAAATGTATTAAACTTTGTATTAAAATCTTAAACCCTAAACCATAAATAATTATAAAACATTTTCTCATCTTTTCTCTTGTTCATCTTCTCTCTTTATTTTGTATCTTATACCATTCTCTACCAATTGTCTATGAAATCTTTTTTAGTTACATTTTTGAAATGAAAACTAAAATCAATTTTTGAATCATGCATCAAAATCAACTCTAAACTCTCTTTCTGTCTATCATTGTGTGTTTGTGAAATTAAAATTTTTTAATGCATAGATAAAGTTTATAAATTTTTAACATTTAAAAATTATTTAATACTTCATTTTATTAATTCAAATTTATGGATAATTATAAAAGTATTTTATATATTGATTTAAATCAGTATAATGAAGTATTATATGATTTATAATTTTTTTTTAAATTTGTAAACTTGATTCATGATTATCTATCAATTTAAATTAATGAAACGAAATATCAAATAATTTTTAAATTTTTTTAAAAATTATGAACTTGATTTATGTATTAAAAATATTTAATTCAATAGTTAGATTGTTAAAATTTAATTTAAAACATAAGTTATTGAGTAGAGTTAATTTAAGTAAACTTATTCTTGGATATATATATATATCAAAGAGTAAATTTTGGTAAACTTACTAAATTCAATAATTTATGTTTTATATTAAATATCATTGATTTAACCGTAAAATAAAAAGTTCTAGGTCAAATTTACAATTTTTTTTTAAAATTTAAAAATATTTAATATTTTATTTCATCAATTCAATTTAATAGTTAATTAATACAAAATATTTTATGTTAACTTAAATTTATATATAAAAAAATATAAAAATATTATAAATGATACTAAAACTATTTGATACCAAAATTTTGTATCTCGCTGTATAAAAATGATAAAATAAGAAAAGTGAACAAGTAATTTTAGAATGATGAAATAATTAAATAAAATAATTTTAAAATTTTAAAATTAATAAATCTTAATTGTTAGTTATTATATCAATTAACAAATAAATTAATTAAAAAATAAAAAGATTTAAAATAAAATTTAGATACCAAATCAGGATATCTTTCTATTAATGTTATTAATTATATTATAAATTATAGATAATGGCTAGCGGTAAAATTATTTTTGAAATAAATTATTTTTAAATTTTGGTTAATATTTATTTAAAAATAACGTAGATTTTTGTCTATATATTTTCAATTTTGTCTATACTACATGTAACTAATAAATCTATTTTAAGCAGTAAAACTTTCTCCCTTAGTATTTAACATTTTTGCGTACCACATTTTCATTTTAAAAACAAGTTAATAATAAAAAAAAATGCACGTGGATCTAAATTGATGGGATGCAGTTCCAAATTCAGGCGATGGTAGACAGCAGAAATCTAAAAAAAAAATATGTAGGGAGCAATGCAGATGAAGCACGGAAAAAACAAAATCAAGCGCCAAAAATTTAATATAACTCACCTGATAATATGAGCTATATTCAGGTACAACAGAATCTATATATTATGATTTAATGAAAAGATGCAAAGATTGCAAGGTAACAACAGCATAAGCTCTTTTTTTAATAAAAAAAAATGCATAAGCTTTCTCACACCACTTTAAAATTGGGAGATAAAATAATCTTGAAAATAACCCAAGATGAACTTCTCACACGGAGGTTCCTCTCTCAACCAAAGGATCACTTTGATGATCCATAACAAATTTTGATATATGAAGTCTATGATGATACAAATGACAGCTCGACGGAATTTTGGAATAAAGTTTTTTCATAATTTCTGTTTAAGCAAAAGAGCTTTAGTAATTTGCAGAATGCACCATTAACCATTCTTTTTTTGAGACTTTAATTTTGTAATATTACAAGGGGTTTACAAATCTCCTCGCACGACTTTTTTAAAAATAAAATAAAATAAAATCCCTTACCTTCTCACAGGTATGAAAATAGGATGAACTAATCTGCCCCCGAGCATACTTGTCTGAAAACTTCTTAACACAAAAAAAAATGGTACTACACAAGAATGGATACATGCCGGTAATCATCGAATCCTCGATGTCTTTAATGAAGTAAAGGGACGATCAGGCACGTTTAGTCTGTAAGCTGCACTGCACCACCACTACCTCCATCTTCACATTTGTTCAAGATTTCAAGGGAAAAACATCGTCACTGTTGTATTCTTATCAATAAAGCAAAAAATTAAAAAACAAAAAATAACTGATGTAACAAACCATAAACCCATATGGTTCTTTAAAACCATTTACTGATCATTTTATTCTTCCTTGCTCAACGAGACCAAAACAGGCAACGGCCAAGGAGCATAAGTAAATTATCAGCGATAAAGGCTTTCAGATCTCAGGTTCTCTGCAATTTCAGTTTCCCATCGGTCTCCATTTTCAAGCAGCTTCTCTTTGTCATATAGAAGCTCCTGCAATAGCAAACATATAACTAGAAATAAATAAGCAAAGAAACCATTGCCGCATACATTAATAATTTAACAGACAGAACTAACATAGAATTAATAACAAAGAAAGAAAGAAACAATTACTAGCATGTAATAACAGATAGTTTATATAATTCAATATGAAGCAAATATGACCTCATGAGTCTCTGTAGCAAATTCAAAGTTTGGCCCTTCAACGATGGCATCTACAGGGCATGCCTCTTGACAAAATCCACAATAAATGCACTTGGTCATGTCAATATCATACCTGAAAGATTTAACAAATAAGAGAGCAAGAATCGGATGGGGGCAGGAGAAGAGACAGACAAGGAAGATAACATACCGAGTTGTCCTGCGACTGCCATCTTCTCTCTCCTCGGCCTCAATTGTGATTGCTTGTGCAGGACATATCTGATAAAAAAAATATATTTATCATTTCGAGAAAATAATAATGATACAGCTGCTAACCCAACTGACAGGAGAGTGAGAAACATGGAAAGAATGAAAACGGGGAAATTAAACATGAAAAGGAAATTAGGACATCGGAAATATATAAAGGATTGATCATTTGCTGTAATTATTACTCAGGATATTCATTAATGGATTATAGCTCAGTTATCTGGGGTGCTGGTACTTCAGGATTTATGGGCTTCTGGAAAATGAGTTTCAATTTAAAATTATAATCACTTGCCTATCATGTAATACTTTTTTGTAGTAACTAGGTTTCACTGTTTAGGGACTTCTACATAGTTTGGGCTCAAAACCTATGTTTTGAGACTGAATTGTTAAGCAGACATTCTCCCTATAGTCCCCCTATAAATAATTATTACTACCTGTGCTTAGAGGATTGCTATATCCTCCGAACCAAATTCTGAATGAGCCTCCAAATGATTAAAATATTAATATTTTTTAATAATGTTGCTATATTAGAGGGATAATGTTGCAGCTACTACAGTACCAGTTATAAAGAAAAGAATTTAAAATAAATAAAACTGCTATTATTGGTGTATAGGAAAATATACCTATTACAGCCTAAAAGGATGAGAGGGTTTGACAGATCTAATTGAGACAGCTCATACAGACATATTTCTACCTCTTAGTGATTTCAAGCACATACCTACACCTAATAAAACTAATGATGTGGCACAGATTCATAAACCTACTAAGGCTTTATGCCTTGAACTTTTTGCCATGTCTTGTTTAAATTCAAAAGCAGCTGCACGTTTGTTTCCGCATTAACCAACAACAAGCCACACACTGTAACATCTACATACAATTGATATATACAAAATAAAGCCCCGAAGTTGGCAAGCTTAGTAGCAGTCCAGTAAAAAAAAAACAACAGGAAAATGCTGTCATACAGTCATATGCCATTTGGTAAAATGCATGCCCTCAAGGATTACTGTTAAACATAAACTATTGGATAAACAATCAAAGCCTTACAGCTTCACAAAGTTTGCAAGCAATACAACGTTCCTCCCCTGTTGGATATCGTCGAAGTGCATGTTCACCACGGAAACGAGGGCTCAAAGGGCCTTTCTCAAAAGGATAGTTAATCTGCATTAAAGAAGTCATGAATTTATCTAAAAGCTGCAACAATCTTGGCCAGCAACAAGTTTTAGAAGAAACTTACTGTAACTTTAGTTTCAAAGAAGTATTTAAGTGTCAGCATTAAACCTCGAACCATTTCAGTGAGAAAAAGTGTGTTGATGCTACGCTCAAAAACTGTCATCCAAAGCATCAACTATGATTTAGTTACATTATAGAAACATAAATCAAACTGAACATGAAAGGTTCTCAAATAAATACCAGAACTCCAATCCTTTGAAATTTCCTTTGCAAGTTGCTCCCTTTCTTCATCCTCTGCAGTTTGTGCATCACAGAATTATGAAACAAATCAAGGGCGCATATACACAGGTAACACATGCATGTGAAAAAAAAATGGTGATCCAGTAGATATCTTAATTGATAGTCATGAATGATAATGCTATTGAAGGTATTTTGAAAAGATAAAGAGACATCATATTTGTTCACTATAACCATTTTCACCCATTTAATTATCTTCCTTTTCTTTTTCTTTTGGGGGAGGGAGTTGGAGACTGGGGTGGGCCCTCACAGGGAAAATCACACAGTTAAAGAGGGGTGGGGACAGGGAGGAAGTGCATTGCATGTTTCAAACCACATACTCTCCTTGCATGCTTCATAGCTCTACCAACTGAGATGTGGACCTGGTTCATTACCACCTTCTAGGCAGTTCATTTATTGTACAGTCTGGTGTAGAAAACAATCAATATTCGTATAGTATAATCATTCTCAATAATTTTGCTTGGCAACCATTCTATAAGAATGCAGAAATTAAAAACGTTTATATAAAGCTGGAAAGAGAAATGACAGACCTTTTTTAGTAGAGTAGGAATGTGCACTTAATCGCAGTTCATGGTTCTGGAATTTGTGCAATCCTTGACCACTTACAGCCTAAACAAGCAGAACAAATGAGGGATAGTTTTAAGTTAAACATTTGGCATCCTACAACAAAAAAATATCCTGTATTCACAACAAGCTTTTATATCTGGAAATTATAACGAGAATCACATAACCAATCAGAAATAAAAATACTCAAGAGGCTATCTAACCAAAAAGAGAAACAAAAACCTAGTTCACATTTTGGACTCAAACGAAATTGGGAAAGTGAGGGGAAGAAATATAGGGTATTCAGATAATACTGCGTCTTGTCAATTCCATCAACATGTTACATGCAATTATAAGCTTGTTCTTCTTACTTTTATTTCCAACACTCCACAGATAACAGAAAAATGAAATGAGATTAATCTTACCAATTGGCGGGTTCGAAGAGCACTAAGTGATTTCCGAGCTAAGATTGCAGCCATTATTGCAAAGACGGTTGAAACGAGAAACTATTGTTGCAGAAACTGAAAATGAAAAACATTAGAGAATCAAAAGCAGTATACTGATTATTTCAAAATGATTAACCAGGTCTCGTTGTGTTTCGAGTCAATCAATATTTACAAAACCATTCTGTCAGGAAAATGATGAATTTCCATTGTTTGAAATTTCCATGTCACACACTGTTCACACCATGCGTCAAAAGGTTAATAAATTAGAAATTCAACCATTCTAGTTACCAGAACTATAACTCAACTCTAATATTTAATAATTCTACTCGTAAGATTTAAGACAATAAATAGAAAAAATAAACATAATCAGGTTGTTTTTTCATCAATTGTTCTCTAGACGAGTTTTAACTTTCAATCTTTGAAGCTCACTTACAATTGACAAGAGGAAACCATGGCTAAATAGAATATGAATTATAGCTCTAGTGCTATAAATTATGTAACAGAAACCAATATTGTACATAATGTAGGAGAATCTAATAGAACAGAAATCAACCTTCGTCAATAAATAAATAAATAAATTAAAATAATCTAATCTCTCTCTCAATTTTCAATCCCTGAAACTCTGCAGAAAAAACTCTCAGATTCTAATAAATCCCTAAGAATTCACCCAATTTGCCCTGTTACAGAATTACTTGGCGACATGTCCACCCGGGACAAGAATCTTCCTAATGAAAATGAAATTAAGATCTGCGAAGTAGCTCAATGGTGGTTCATGTAAGTTTCGAGAAGGAAAAAGAGTGAAAAAAATAGCTACAAAAGTATGAAACCCTATCTATCTATATGAGGAAAAGAAAAGTAAAAAAATCAGGGGGAACAAAAGAAAGGTGTGAATGAGTGAGAAATCTTGAGACAACAAAACATGGAGAATAGTGAGAGAGAGAGAATGGATACCTGAAATGTGAATGGAAGACGAGTTTCTTCCCTTCACTCGAGTGGAACAACTCGCTACGCTGCTGGAATTTGCATTCGCAGATGTTCGGTGAAGCACCAACCCACGTGCTAAATCTATAATAATTCTGTCATATCTTTTTAATTGACACTTTTTTTTAAAAATAATTCTATGGAGATTTTTATTAATTTATACTTCTTTATAATAATCATATCATCACTTTTATAAAGAGATATTATTATTTTTATTTTAAGAAAATATTTTTTATTTAAATAAGGAACATGAAGTATTTCAACCTCAACAACAATAATAATAATAATAAACACTAAAATAAACTCATAATATGAATTTTGTATAAGATTGTTTTTTTTTGTTGTGAATTTAGTATAAGATCTTAACACATTTACCATGGTGTTGTTTTCTTAATATCGCTAATTAAAATAACTATATGATAAAAAAAATTTGACAGCAACCATATGATAATTAAAACCCTTTATAACTAATTAAAAAAATTAAAATCTATTTTTATCTTTATTATCCCAATTTTTATGCACGTCAATAAAAATACAAAAATTGAGATAATAAAAATAAAATAAAATATTTACATTTTTCAATTAGTTATAAAAGATTTTAATTAACTAATGCCTTATATTTGTTTAATTAATTATGGTCCTACATAATAATCGTATGATTTTCCTAATTAATGATATCAAAAATAGTGTTGGATCCTCTCGGAGAAACTAGAAATTATGAATAGAGATTTCATCTACTTTTGTAAGAAATTATTATTATTTAAAAGAATCAAATCAAATCAAATATAAAAAAATAAAATATAAAAATAAATATTTTAATAAATAAATGATTAAAATAATCTAAAATACAAGATAAAGAATAAAATATATAATTTAGTCCATAAATTATATAACAACGATTTTATAAGTTTTATCTACAATAAATAATTATAAGTACAAATATTTAAGTTTTAATTTTTTCTACACTAAATATTTATATATAGAAGTAGTTTTCAATTTTATCTACAATTATTATGTTTAACATAACAAAACATATGTAGGTATAGGTTACTTTCCTTTTAGCTATTCAACTTCAAAATAATTATATATTTTGATTTTTATTTATTATTTCATTTTAAAAATAAAAATAATTGTATACCCCACTAACTATATACAGAGGACACGTTAATTAAAAGAAAGGGAGAGAATATTACAAGTTTAAAAATAATTTTCTCATTTATTAGAATTGATATGTTCACCAAAAAAAATTAATTAGAATTGATATTTAACACCAAAACGTACATATTTGTTGGAATAAAAATCGTTTCTTAAGCATCATCTTCGTAGAAGTGACGAGGAAGAAGGAAGGAAGGTGAGTGAGAGTAATCAAGATATAAAAGTTTCAAACAAAAAAATCGTTATATCTTCTTATTTATTATTATTTTAAACTATTTCCTTGTTTATTAATAAATTGTCTTAATACTAATTTAAAAAGCATTAAAATAAAAATTAAATGTATATAATACGTTCAGAATATAAAAATATTTAATATTTACTTTATTTAATAATTAATAGGAATTAAAAAAACAAGAAGATAATTGTGCATATCTATATTGTAAGGAAAAAAAAACTAGATTATACTGATATTCTATAAAGTTTTATACAATGACACTATTTTTTTAATGTTTATAATAATCTCTTTAAAAAGTTGTAATGTAATATTTTTTTAAATAATTAAGAGAATTATTATAATGTCACAAAAAGCGTTAGTGTAATGTTTTAAAAAAAATTTAAAAAAACTCTCAGTAGAAAAAAAGGTAAATGGCATTTATACTACTATTTGAATAGAAAGGTGTGAGGAGAATTTATTAAAAAGGAAATAGTATAACTACCATTACCATAATAAGGCATGCATTGAACCAGATTGATCCTATTTAATGTTTACTAAATCATTGAAAGTTGAAACTAATTTTTCACGCTACGCGCATTCATGGGAAACCTCCACGAAGCTAGGTGAAATTTCCCCTCACGATGAATTCACGCTTATTTAAATTCTCTTTTGTTATTCTTTTCCGTCACTTCTCTGTGTTTTCTTCTCATTCTGTCACACTATCTGGTTTATTATTCTTTGACTACATACATACTTACACTCTTATTATTATCATCATGGTTACGTACCCCATGACATGCAAGAAAAGGTGGCGAATGGCTTTCAATGCCCTTTCTTTCGCCAAGACTCTTCTCCGTTTCTCCAAGAAAACCCTTCTTGAGGAACTCAAACATGTTGATGCCAGAAACACGTTTTCTAGTAGCAATATCAATATCAAAACTCCCAGGCTCTTGCGCTCCTTCTCCTATCTGGCCGTTGATGTTGACCCAGACCACGTTGATCCCAAGCTTCTCAGTGACATGGTAAGGGACAAAGACACAGACTCCCTCACCCAATTCGGCGGCATCAAAGAACTCGCCACACTTCTTGGAACCGACGTGAAGCGTGGCATCAGAGACACCCACGTTGATATTGATACCCGAAAACGTGTTTTTGGCGTCAATGAGTTCCAAAAACCTCAATCCAAGGGTTTTCTTTCTTTTGTTCTTGAATCTTTTAAGGACACCACTATTATCGTACTTTTGGTTTGTGCCGTGCTTTCACTTGGCTTTGGCATCAAGCAACATGGTTGGAAGGAGGGATGGTACGATGGAGGTAGCATCATAGTGGCAGTTATTCTGGTTATTGTTGTCTCTTCCGTGAGCAACTTTAACCAATCTAGACAATTCAAGAAGCTTTCTGCAAAGAGTAGCGACATAGGGGTTGAAGTAGTACGAGGTGGTAGACGCCAAAGCGTGTCAATCTTTGAGGTGGTGGTTGGTGACATTGCGTGTTTGAAGATTGGTGATCAGGTTCCTGCTGATGGGTTGTTTTTGGAGGGGCATTCGTTGAAGGTGGACGAGTCTAGCATGACGGGGGAGAGTGATCACGTGCATGTGAATGGTGACACGAACCCCTTCTTGCTCTCTGGCACAAAGGTATCTGATGGTTTTGCACACATGATGGTTACTTCTGTGGGAATGAACACTGCTTATGGTGCCATGATGGGTTCTTTGACTAGAGAGCTTGATGAGGAGACACCTTTGCAAGCGCGTCTCAACAAGTTGACTTCCGCTATTGGCAAGGTTGGTTTGTTGGTGGCTGCGCTTGTTTTGTTTGTATCTATGATACAATACTTCACTGGAAACACAAGAGATGACATGGGGAACCGGGAATTCGTTGGAGGGAGGACCAAGTTTGATGATGTTATGAATGCGGTTGTGGGGATTGTTGCTGCGGCAGTCACAATTGTGGTTGTGGCCATTCCTGAAGGGTTGCCTCTTGCTGTTACTCTCACTTTGGCTTATTCCATGAAGAAAATGATGAGAGATAATGCCATGGTTCGGAGAATCTCTGCTTGTGAGACAATGGGGTCAGCAACGATAATTTGCACCGATAAAACAGGTACACTTACAATGAATGAGATGAAGGTGACTGAGGTTTGGGTGGGGAAGAAGAAAATAGATGAAGATGGCTATTTGGCACCGAGTTTAGTCCAATTGTTGAGAGAAGGAATTGGATTAAACACCACTGGAAGTGTTTACCAACCCCAAGAAACATCTCAGCCTGAAATTTCAGGGAGTCCTACTGAGAAAGCGTTGCTTTCTTGGGCGGTGGTGGATTTGGGCATGGAGATTGATGAAGTGAAGCAGCATTGCGAGATAATTCATGTGGAGACTTTCAACTCCGAGAAAAAGAGAAGTGGGATTCTGATGAAGGAGAAGAGAGGAAGCAACAGGTTTCATACACATTGGAAGGGTGCTGCTGAGATGATATTGGCCATGTGTTCAAATTATTATGACCATGCAGGGGAAATCAGGATCATGGATGATGAAGAAAGGGTTCAGATTGAGAACATTGTCAAGGGCATGGCAACCAAAAGTTTGCGATGCATTGCCTTTGCCCAAAAGAGCTCCAATGTGTATGGAAAGCTTGAAGAGTCAGAACTAACATTGTTGGGGATACTTGGACTGAAAGACCCTTGTAGGCCAGGAGTGGAAGAAGCAGTTGAATCATGCAAGAATGCTGGAGTGAAGATCAAGATGATTACAGGAGATAATGTGCACACAGCAAGAGCCATAGCCTCTGAATGTGGAATTCTTGACCCTGATGAAGAATTGGAGGAAGAAGCAGTGGTTGAAGGGTTTCAATTCAGAAATTTCTCACAGGAGGAGAGAATGGAGAAGATTGACAGAATAAGAGTCATGGCCAGATCATCTCCATTGGACAAGCTTCTGATGGTTCAATGTTTAAAGCAGAAGGGTCATGTGGTGGCAGTCACTGGTGATGGCACCAATGATGCACCTGCTCTGAAAGAAGCTGATATTGGTCTTTCCATGGGAATACAAGGCACTGAAGTGGCAAAGGAGAGCTCAGACATTGTTATCCTTGATGACAATTTCTCTTCAGTGGTCACAGTACTACGGTGGGGAAGATGTGTGTACACAAACATTCAGAAGTTCATTCAGTTTCAGCTAACAGTTAATGTGAGTGCACTTGTCATCAACTTTGTGGCTGCAGTTTCTTCTGGTAAAGTGCCTCTTACAGCAGTTCAGCTTTTGTGGGTAAACCTGATAATGGATACTCTTGGAGCGTTGGCCTTGGCCACTGAGCAACCCTCTAATGATCTCATGAAGATGCCACCTGTTGGAAGAGTTGAGCCACTTATAACTAGAGTTATGTGGAGGAACCTCATTTCACAGGCATTGTACCAAGTGCTAGTCTTGCTGGTTTTACAATTCAAGGGAAGATCAATCTTTGACGTCAGTGAGAAGGTGAAGAACACACTTATTTTCAATGCTTTTGTACTTTGCCAAGTCTTCAATGAGTTGAATGCAAGGAAGTTAGAGAAGAAGAACATCTTTGAGGGACTATTTAAGAATAAGTTGTTTATAGCAATTGTGGGTGTAACTGTAGCTCTTCAGCTAGTGATGGTTGAGTTTCTGAAGAAGTTTGCGAATACTGAGAGATTGAGTTGGGAGCAATGGGGTGTTTGTGTTGGCATTGCAGCTTTGACTTGGCCAATTGGTCTGCTGGTGAAGTGTATCCCAGTTGTTACCAACGAGTAGTATAGACAAGACTGTTATGTTTATTAATTCAGAGAAATCACATTTGAAGTCACAATACATTATATCTCTTTTTATTATTATTTTATAAAAGTCGTAAAACTGATGATCACGATTCACGACTCCCACTTAATTTGTTTTTTTAAATATTCTTTAACATAATATACAGCTTTTTTTTCGATCTTTATACTTTAAAATCTAAACTAATGTGTTATTTTTCTGCAACAAAAATCATTTTTATTTTAAAACTATTGATTCAAGATATAAAACTTATTCAATTAAGTTCACTTACACAACATTATGAATATCAATTAATGTCTAAACCAAAAAAATACAATAAACATTATGAAAATAGTGTAAAATGTAAGCCCACAAGCAATAAAAATTGATATTAGATTATATAATTTTGGTTGTTTCACGAGAATCATTTTTCATGAATTTTTTACTGCATTTATGAATATTTTTTTTGGATATTAATTGTGTTCCATTATTTTGTATATTTAAATGTAATGAGATAAATTTTGCATCTTAAAGAATTAAAAAAAAGTTTCAAAATTATATTCCAGAATAAAAAATAATCATCTTCTTAAAAGAATAACATTAATTCAATTTTTAAATTTGAAATATCTTAAAAAATGAAAGTCAAGAAACAACTTTTAAAAATACAATAAAAGAGAAAAAGGAATATTACAGCCTAAAAGAAAGTTTTATGAATTATAAAAAAAAATAGACAATAAAAGTCGTCACAACTTCAGAAGTTGTATTTCCTATTTATGAAATTCTAATTTAGATATCTTTTTCAAAATCTGCCTCATTTCGGTAATTATTAAAAAAAATAACTATGATATGTAAAAATTAAAAAAAGTTTAAAAAAAAAACTTGTATGTGTCTCCCATATTTATTTTAAAGGAAAAAAAATATATAAATTAACTAATTAATATGAAAATGTGTAAAATTATTCCTAAGTTAATTCAAGTATTTTAATAGTAGTTTTAACTTCATCTACTGATAATGAATTAAATAAAACAACACTTATTTAGTTTCAATTCCCATTATATGACATCTCATGTTTTTCGGATACTAGTTGTAGCTAAACATGTTTTAGTTAATTCATAAAACTTTATTTCTATGTCTTTACCACACAAAAGTTTTCTTTAATGAGCCCTACATTTTCTATTATCTTCGATCACAAAATTCTGTGTCTTGGTAAATTGTCTAGCTTTAATTTTTGGGTCCTCGAATATGTTGAAATTTTCTTAAAAATTTAAATTATATATATCTTATTATTCGACTCTGTATGCTGACACATGCATTTATGCAATCATTTCACACTTGGACGATTTTTATCATTTGAATATATGTAATTGTGTTTTCTCTGCATTGATAATGTGAGCTTGTCACATAAAAATGAGTATGACCTCCAAGATAGGTTTAGCTTAGCCATTTCATAACTTCGTCGAGCTTGCAGAACCACACATTAGTTGCGAGAACCGAAGCTTTATGTGGCTTTTTTTAGGAAAAAAAAAAAATATAACAGATACTGTTTGTAGCTAGTGACAGTGGGAAACTTCTACTTTGACCAAATCCACGACAAGAGTGGTAGACATGTTCCCTCTTAGCAGGTTTTGTCAAAATTAAGCAAAGGAAAAGTGAAATTATTTATTGTTAGTAAAAGGAAAAAAAGAGAAAAAAGCAAAAGTGAAAATGATTGATTTTGCATGACTGTATAAAGTAGCGGCAACGAGTATCATTCCTGATTCCACAACGTCCTTTACTTCAAAATTTGCAGCAAGAAAATAAGTAAAGCAAGTGTATATACTAAATGTAGTAGAACAAATTAAGTTAACACCTTCCAAGAAAGAAAAAAAGAGCAAACATAGCTATCTGGCCTAAATACATGTAAATATCAGGGTTAAATATAATATAACACTTTCTTTTCAAATTTGAATAACTTACGATTAAGTAAATTTCATAAGATATATTCTATTTTATTCTTGTGTGTGATAAGTGGGATTACATTTTAAAAAAAATTGGCCGGAGTGATAAGGTAATTTAATATATTTATTTTGATCTTTTTTTTTTGTTAAGGTGAAATTTTCATCACATTCTCACGATCAAATATTAAAATTTGTAAGATTAAATGTGAAAAATTTGTAGAACTAGATATCTAATATGCTCTGATAAAAATATGCTAAAAGACAACTTAATACGACTAACAATAATAATTAAGATAAATTTTAATATTATCTTAAAATATTTGTTTAACCTTAATTGAATCCTACGTAAAGGGAAGGTGGGCATATGCTCAATTTTGTTCTGAAGTTGGGATCTCTGTATTAATTTTCAGCGTATCAAAGTATTGATAAACTGGAAATTTGCAAAGTGTTTCTAGGCCTTAACAAATGCAACGACCTGGTCTACACGCAACAAAGGCAACAACAAGAAATGCATGCATTAAAAGAAACACCGCAACTCAAAAACCAATACCATACCCAACAAAGACAATTACTAAATTTTTGTTTGTATCTTGATCTCCCCATACTTATTCCCTTCTACTTCTACTTTCTCTCAGTTCCTTTACTTTCTCTGGGACCCCTCCCGAAGCCAATAGAGTGCAAAGGGTATTTGCCACTGCTTTATCTATGAAAGCAAGAGTGGAAGAGAAGGAAAAGGTTTGATGTGTGAGTGATGAGAGGGTGAGTTGGTAACATGGAAGGTGCGGAGGAGGAGCTAGAAAGAAGAAGCAGGTTTCTTAAAAGCTTGATACAGAAGAAGAAAACCATAGAGCAACAAGAGCAGCATGATCACCTGCAACACAATAACCTTCGTGTCAGAGCTTGTGACATGCCTCTCCCTCTTCAGAATCGTGCCTTTCGTTGTGCACGTGATCTCCTCGATTCTATGCCACCAAAGAAGCTTGATAGTAAACGCCTGGCCCTCACACTTAAGAAGGTTACCATTTTTTAATTGTTGTTGTTTTCAGTTTGTTTCTGTTTTTGTCAATTATGTTGCTTTCTTTACGAGATCTGTTTTTGGGCTGTGATCTTCTACCACTTACGTAGTATGAAATCTCATTGGATAATTTGGATGTTTTTGAAATTGTGAAAAATGGTCGGATATGGCAAACGGTTATTCTTATTCTTCTACTATTTTTTTTCTATGTTGATTGTTTGATCTTGATCGCTAATCCATTTTTGTTATTTTTTAAACAATCTACTTGATATAATCACCGGTTTAAGGATCACAAGTTTTAAGTGAAGGTTTTGATTTGGGGTGTTGATATTTTGTCAATTGAGTGATCATTTTTGGAATGTGTGTAATGGCTTGCTAGTTTCACTCTGTGAAATGGAACTAAGCTTGTTTGAAATTGATCTGTTATTTTATCTTGTGGAAATTGATTTAGTGAAGAACGATTTGATTTTGCATGCTACATGGACTCTGTAGCTATCCTATAGTATATAAACATAGCTTGGATTATAAGAGATTGAAAATGGCAGGTTTTGTTGGTTTTACTTTGAGTATACAGATGCCCAAAAGATGATGTTAAGTAGACTCAGGAGTTCTCTTATGAGTCTTCACCAGTTTTTTATATATTCTATTTTATTGGTATAACCAAAAAAGAATATTCTATTTTATTGGAAAAGACTTGAAGTTTCAATAAAATGATAAAAATGAGCACCCTGATGTGTATGGTGCCTCTGAGGTCCATTTAAGATTGAATTATCTTTTTGTTGTGAACTGTGAAGAATGTCAAGTATATTTTCTAGATTGCATGTGTTTCTGCATACTGAAAAAACCAGATAAGTATAGCTATAGGCTTGTTGGTTATGACTATTTATGAATTTAGGTGACTTGCTATGCTACATAGGTTATTTGGGATGTCAAAAATATTAGATGGTCCCTCATTTCAGTGATTGGGGGGGCTAAGGGATGATAAATAATAATTCTAGAATTTCCAAATAATGTGATAACCCAAGTAAGAAGTAACACAATGGATGAGTGGAAGATTGGATGAATCTATATATAACACCAAAAGTTGGCTATTTACTCATTTTTGAATGTTTTTGCCCTTACTTAAATGGTTCATGACAGAAACATTATGGTTTTATAGGAATTTGATTCTTCGTATGGTCCAGCTTGGCACTGCATTGTGGGTACTAGTTTTGGCTCCTATGTTACTCATTCCCTTGGTGGTTTCGTGTATTTTTCCATTGACAAGGTCTATGTTCTTCTCTTCAAGACAGCTGTTGAACCATTAGACCATTCATAGCTTCCACAACTGAGTTATATGCACATCTCCTTGGAAACTTTAATTAATTTAATATTTCAAACCAATAGGTGTATGGAATTACAAATTGTAAAATTTAAAGACATTGTATTCTGTGAAGTATTTGATGGACTTGTGTTTGGAGTAGGAGAGCATTTGAGTGTGTAATTTGTTGTGACAAGCAAAAAGATACAAATTGTTTTTCTTAAGAACACATAAAAGATTCATTTCTCACACCACATCGGTTATAACAAATGATTTTGCTGATATTATTTTTGAGCCCACCTAGACCTACAAAATTAGATAGATATAATTAATCCCTTGGGAGAAAAAGTAATTACAGAAAGAGAAAATAAGAAATTTCTTTGGAGATAAGCAGCCAATGCTATACCATTGTCAGAAATAAATTGGGGGTAACATTAAGGAAGCAATAGTCTATTCTTTTCCTTCATAGGATCAGTGAAATATTGATGACTTGTTCTTAAACATTTAGTGAAACAGCTTCGCACTGCTTACGGTGCTCATCTTCGCGAGATTATTGTGTTCAACTTTTCGTACCCCTAAACTCATCATGGTTTAAGTTAAGCCTTTAAGGCTTTTCAAACACTATATGAGGCATGCACTAAGATATCATCAGTAGAGGATCCCATTTAGGTGCCTATTATAATTACCTCACTTTATTTTATCATTAGTGAAAAAAAGACACGGATCCGTATCTCGCTGCAATAAAATTAAATAATAATAATAATAATAAATATGCATTTAATTTCATAATAGTAAGATAATTGAATAAATTAATTAAGAAGTAAAAAAAATTCAAAGGAATGTGGACCTCAAAATAGAATATTTCCTTTATTAATATTATAGATAATAATGAAAATGTTCACCAACTTCATTATAAGTATAAATTTGTTTACCTTAATAAGTTTAATTGTGATATTGTGTAACAAAAAATTACTCAACCATTTTGATTGTATTTATTAAAGAGCACCATGGTAAATGTAAAAAAATAAAATAAAAAATAAAAATTAAGCTATCAATGTATTTTAATTAAATTTGCATTTTCTTTATTAGTTATACCTCCATAATTTGTTGTCTCTGAAAAATAACCCACACTTTTTTGTCCAACGCAAAAACACTACACACGACACGAGGGGTAAGAGTGGGATTAAAGGGGAAAATGAACAATTCTGACGCGTGTGGCATACCTTCAACCACATTTAGCTAACGTGTCACTCTATGATTTCATTTTTCTCCTTTGTCCACTGTGTGTCCCTCGCTAACTCATATTCCACCTTCAACAGTGATACTAAAATCACCTGGCATACACGGAAGTATCAAGTTTTGATTTCTTAAGTGAACCAAACATGGAAGAGTCCTCCAAGGCGGTTAGTTTAACAGTTGAGTCACCACAAGCTGAAGCAAAGCCTCCTCACGAGGCTGTGTTCCTCGTTTTGGCATATCTTCCAGTGTACGAGATTGTGGTCATGTCTCAAGTTTGCATATCATTAAGGGATGCAGTGAACAACGACATATTACCATGGTTGAATGTTATTGTCGAAAGGCCTCTGAGTTGGCGACTCAATGATGAGATTCTGATGAAAATCACCTCCAAGGCCAATGGTAGGCTCAAAACTCTGGCTCTCATCAACTGCATGCACGTTACCGACGAGGGACTCCAAAGGGTCGTGAAACAAAACCCTCTCATAAGCAAGGTACATAAAACCAACCTCATATTTTAGATTTTTAGTTTGCTCTATTGATTCATCGCTTTTCTTTAGTCAAGCAAAGTTTGTAGCCCTCCTTTCCTGCTTTACCGGAATGAAATTATGAGGTTAGTTTTAGCTGTTTACCAATTAGGGCAGTGTTAAGGGATGTGGAATTCAATGGATAATAAGTGTGCGGCTATCCTCGCTTGTTTGTTCAAACTGGTTGGTGAGGATTTCCGTAAAATTATTGAAAATTGAATAACTACTTGACAAAAGGGTGGCGTGTACATCTTGAAAACCATGTTTAGATCTTCAAAATAAGCACCAAACTTGATGCCTACTAGAGAAGAAAGAAAAACTAGGCTATGATAAAATGCTATTATGTACCTTGGAACATGTTGCGTACATGGATTTAAGTGTTATCTCATTTCTGGTTTCATTTGGGGTGTAGCTCCATATACCAGCATGCACAGGCATAACCCCTGAAGGGGTTATAAGAGCCATGAAAACACTATGCCAAAGAAGCAATTGCTTAAAAACCTTGAGTATAAACGGTATCTGCAACATAGAGAAGGAAGATCTAGACTTGCTTACCATGTACCTCAGAAAGAACATACCATTACAGGAACAGCAAAAGCAGCAGCCTGTCTACTATCACCAACGTGGTAGCTTTTCTTTATTGAAACATGAAGAAAGCCAGAGGCTTATTGATTTAGAGATTTGTCCCAGGTGCTTTGAGGTGAGGATGGTTTATGATTGCCCAAAAGGGCACTGCATGAGGAAGGAATGGCCCCTAGCTCAATGTAGGGGTTGCAACTTTTGCATTTCAAGGTGTGAAAACTGTGGTGGATGCATTGAATCCGGAGAGGTAGAAGAGGGAGCTTGTGAAGATATCTTGTGCCTTGAATGTTGGTTACAGCTTCCCAAGTGCAGTTTCTGTAACAAACCATACTGTAAGCAACACACAAATTGGTGGCGCACTTCTTCAGAGTCTTCATTGATCTGTAAAGTTTGTGATGAAAATTCTCATGGATATACGTATACTGATGTTCTATAATGAAGTGCAACTCGGGATAAGTTTCAACTATCATGCATCACACAATCGAGTTCCTGTAACTTGTACAAAGTTTATAGCAGTGAATAAATTATTGCTGATGATTATTTGCATTCATCAATGTACTTAAAGTTTGACCGTGCTGAGTTACAAAATGAACGCTTTTCTTTAAATTTATTCAAGTCATCATGAAAGACAGAAAGAGTCGGATTCATCATCAATTTGTGTACCATATCAAGATCATCATGCCAAAGTATTCCAATACATGCCAGGGGCGAAATAGTTCCAATTCAAAGAATAAAAATTGTGGTTTAAATTATTAAAAAAATAAAAAAAAACTAATATTGTTACAGACTTATAGCAATGATGTCAAATAATTACTATGGTCTGTTTGTACAAAATTCAATGGACAACTCATGTTACAATTGAGGATATACATTTTGATCAACCTCGCTACCCTTTAAATTCTTTCTAGAAGAAACACTAAATAATGTATGTTGCAATGCAATCTTCCAGAAGGAAGTTGAAGAGAATGCCTCCATAAATTATATTCCAAAAATGAACAGGAGATTGCCTAGTTTTACACAACTGCACACAGAAGTAAAATAGCTAGAATCAACGAGCTTGTGAAAGATCCACCACCATTGTAGTGGTATCGTGACAAGCAGCCTGAACTTGTGGAATTAGATGGGGCCAATGATGTGCCATTTATTCTGGTGCCGTTTCTACCATGACTGTATTTCACCATAAATATGCAACACCAAAGAAAAAAAGTTGAAGTTATTTCACAGCTTTGAGAGCTGAAAGAGAAGAAGATTGGAAAAATACATTAAAATGAGAGCAAGACTAGCACATATAACCGGGAAAGGAATGGCAACGAGCACACAAACATAGGCTCGAGAAATCATACCTTCCTGGAAATATACAAGAACCATGGCCTGTAAAAATTACAACAAATATCAGTTATATTAAAAAGGTAAGCAATTTTAAATAGAAATTTGATTATGCAAGACCTTTTTGTTTTATGTATAACAAATCTGAGCCAACAGAAAATGGACAAAATTTTAAGGGATTTTTTCATGCAACTAATTAGAAGATATGCTTTCTGTCAAAAGGATGCCAAGAAAACGAAATCCAAAAACTGTTCAAGTAATAATTTCTTCGAAATATAAGTGCATAACTAATTAGAATCAAACATTCATAAAGAAATGAAGAACAAAAATAAGCATATGATCATCCCGTAATTTGAACAAATATACTTCTGAAACAAACTGTTAAGCAAGATTGAATATCACTATTCTCATAATTAGTCAAAGGATCATTTTCCCCAATTATTTCAATTTTAAAATTGTGGGCCCCTTGTTTGTAGTTGAACAATTTTGGTCCAATCAATCTTAAATTCTTTCAAATGTGATCCTATCTATCATACATAAATTTGGAGATGTGAGGTGCTACAAGCTAATTATGTTCCATGTGAGCACTTTTCATCACCAAATAAAATGTCTATAAGATTGAACCAATATGAAAGGAGTTTAAAATTGAACAGACCAAAGTCGTGTAATTTAAGATGGAGAGACTAAAGGTGCTTACGCGGTTACGCCTGGAAAACGTTTCATCATAACTCATCCTATTTGTAATTCTATAAACCTGGTTATAGTGTTAGGGTGCAAACATGCATGTTTCCTTATGTGACCATACTTATGGTATTCTTCTGGCTTTACAAATAAATGTATACATATTCACAGCCAACTCATATATTTATGCAGGAGTATATATTGACATACTTGGGTCGGTGGTAGTGATAGAGGCAACCCCTTTGAAATCACAACTCCCAGGAGATTTATCCATCTTCTGATAATATGCATTGAAAGCATATGTAGAATGTGCAACTACATTATTAGGTTCATAACATGGTTGACCCTGCAGCAAAGGGGAACAATCCACCTTCCCAGGTCCACAAGCCCAATCAAGTGCTGCCTGTAACATCTTAGGGTCAGCATTACTCTTTGAGACACAAAAGGTTTGGTTTGTTGTATCATTTGCAAATATAATACCAGCACCAGTCAAGTGTAACGTATACACTGGTTCTCCATTAGCGTAAAATAGGCCCCAGTTCTTTTCAGAGACGGGACCTGATCTTAAGTCTTCATTATAAAGCTCATAAATATATGTACTAACTGCAACTCCAGGATGTTTAGGAGTCCCCGTATTGTTAAGGACGTGTCTTATCAAGTTACTGTTGTAAGTGTTAGCATTATCAACAGTTGCATCAGGCTCAGACGAGTCACCTTTGGATGGCCATCCCGACTCAGTCACCAGAACAGGGATATTGCTGAAGTTCAAATCGGACATCGCAAAATAAGCAGCATCAACAACTGCATCAAAAACATTAGTATAATGCAGCAGGGTGTTGGAATCAACAGCTTCCTTATTTGGAGGTAGGGGGCGGAATAAAGCATAATCCAGAGGGACTGTACCATTGGTTTGGCGATAATCATAATATGGGTACACATTGAGCATAAGATATGAACCTGTTGATTGCAAAAATTTAAGCAAGGGAACGAAGACTGGATTCCAAGTACGGTTGAAAAATGCTTGGGAAGGTGGGAAAGAGACAAGGATGATAGAGGAAGAGTGTGGACTAGAGACTTTAATTTGTCGATCCAGATTAGCAGCAACAAGAGCAGAGTGAATGAAATTTATGGCAGAGACTAGAATAGGGGCAGCATTTGGGAGGGTAGTTAGGACCTCAGATCCAACACATATGGCAGTAATGTTGGTAGCAGGAACATGAGCTATGACATTTCGAGAAACCCAGTTTGCTGCAGTGACATTGGACTGACCAATGCCAAGTAGCTGGTCATTGGGAACAGAGACTGTGACACGGATTCCTGTGTTGGCAAGTGCAACAAGTAATGCTCGGTCAGCGTCATAGAGTCTGACATGTTGGATACTTTGAGCCTTCAGAAGAGCAACAATATCTGTTGGACCTGGCACGTCAGATATATCTGAACCAATGTTGACACCAATAAAAGCGTCTGTGAAAAAAGAAAAAAAAACCAATGAATGAAGGGCTTTCATTTTAACATGAGAGACTCAGAGTCACCCTGAGATATTGATAATAAACTTAAAATAAATAAATAAAATCAGTAACCATCACCAACAGATAGGAAAGTAAAAACATCATGTATTTGGTTATATGGAGTTATTTACAAGAGCAATGAGGTATAAATCCTCAATATCAAATTATCAATGTCAGGCACATCAAATAGATCAAACAAATGAACTAATTTTTAGAAAAAGGATATTAACATTCTAAAACAAATCTTCAGAAACAAAATAAAAGGACTATTGTATTGGGACATAAGCAGAGATGCAGAATTAAAATTATGTTTTAACATTCTTTACTACCACGTGCATAGCCTTTTTTGGATCCTAGATTTATCTTAAAAAAAACTCTTAGAACACATTGAGGCTGGTGTTTCATATCGTAATCAGTGACACCACCAGCTGGTCAGTAGGGTTACCATGTCTCCCACAAATTAAATACGAAACATGACACCCAAAGAAATGTACGTACTTCTTGAGAAAGATATGGTTCAAGCAAAAGAGAATGGAGACTGATTCACTTATCAGACAAGCTGGCTCTATAATTTTGTTATTTTTAGTCTATACACCACCTGACGTGTGAAAAGACATAGCCTGCTACAGTAATTGGCAGCAGTGCTCAGCTTCAGAAGTGAAACAGCAAGAAAACAACATTCAAGAATTTAATCTTGTTACAGTTTTACAGAAATAAACTGGTACATCATAACCTAAAAGGTATGAGAAGAGAAATTATATCCATGAATAAGAGTGTGATAAGTTTATAACCCCTATTTTGGTAAACCCCAAGTCAAATTCTGGAACATAGCCTAGTTGGAATCAGGATTATGCATAGGTTAATTGCGTGTGGTTCTTACACAAACAATTAGGTTACCTGTCAGAGACACTACAATAATAATAAGTATGACAAGGGTCTATACTCATAGATGGCCAAACTATTCATCTAGCTAACGAATAGTATCCTTAGATGCAAACAACTTATTAATGGCCCATGACTCACCACCTGAATTATTCACACTTGATCATGAACCATGGCAAGCAAAAGTCGAGGTCAGCTTTTTTTACCTGTCACCCCATGTGTGTTTCTTGTTCTTATCATTATCAGTAAGGGTAGGACCTAAGAAGACATGGATTTAGCTAAAAGGAGTGAAACATACTCAAATGATGACTGGTTGGTAGGTTACACTTTCACATCAGTAGCACTAGCTCTTCTACAAGCCAAGATACACATGAAAAGATTCATTTTAATTAGCAAGCAACAAATTATAAAATGCGGTATATTTAGTTACCAACATAGTCCATGGGAACTGCAGTTAGCAGAGGTCAGAAATCAGAATGAAGTGCCGCATCACCTACGTCATTTTCTAACTCCTATGATTATTATATTCCAGAGGTAAAAATATTAGTAGTACGTTAGCTACACACAGAAAACCTCACAAGGACAGGCGTTTGTATTTGTCCTCAAATGTCAAAATCACCCCAGTACCCCACCGCCCACTGTCCCTGAAGCTTTTTCAGGTGACATATGTGAAGATTCTGCTATTCTTCTTATAGCCATAATTGCCCCCATTCTATAATGCAGATTTTTCATGATAATACTGATAACGCATTTATTTATAAATGGTAGATGGCAGGTTGGCTCATTTAATATTGTGGACCACTATGTTTAATTCTCTGGCCAGTTTGACAACAAATTATATAATCGCTAATTAGTTTCTATATGATATGTAACAAAGTGTTACTAATTTTTTTCCGTAAATTAAAAAACTTAAATCCATGTCATATAATAAATGGATAGGACTAAAGACAAATATTGATATTGGACTATCTAATAATTCTCCGTTTTCACATCTACGAATTACTGAATTAGTAAAGTCTGACAATACTTTTTCAATATTCATCCCTAGCAATTCTCAAATAAGGGTATTTTAGTACATGAATTTTTTCTTCTACAAAAATGCAGTTAAGTGCAAAATGCAAAGTAAACTGTGTGATGAGCTGGGACGCAACAA